CGAGTTCAAGGCAATCTCCTTAGATCAAGAACAGACTCGGCGAGTTGTTCATACAACTCGTCGAGTCACAGTATAAATTGTTCATCGAATGAAGATGAACTCGGCGAGTTGTTCATACAACTCGGCGAGTAGGATGAAGGACTTGAACATCAGTTTGGAAGGAGAACTCATCGAGTCAACGCCTAACTCGACGAGTAGAAGCAGAATCCAGGTCAGTCGTTTGGACAGGGACTCAGCGAGTTGGCGAGCCAACTCGACGAGTCGGGTCAACTGAAAGTTGACTCTGATTTTGACTTAGGGAATGATCAGGGGTAAAATGGTCATTTTACCCAAAGGACAGTTAGCAATATTTGGCTAAGTGTTTGGTGGGAATTTCAGCCGGAGGATTTCCGGAGCAGCAGCAGACAGACAGATTATTCCCACACAGATCAGCAGCTACTACGGGGTGAGTTACCTTCCAGTAGCGGTGGGTCTTAGGCCACAATGTCGGCCCACCGGTAGGAGATGTGTGATTAGATGATTGTCTTTGTGATATTCATCTAGTGTTGCTACTACCTGTGTTATGTTTATGTGTTAGTGACAGTAGGGGGAGATAGTCCCCCAGAACACCGGTCAATAGGGCCGAAGGGGCGGTCATGCCCAGCCATGCTAGATAGACTATGTGATATATGTATTATGTGGTAGTAGTAGGGGTGAAATAGTCCCCGGTATCCGGTCGAGAGGACCGAATGGGAGCCAGCACCCAGATATGCTAGGCAGTATCCGGTCGAGAGGACCGAAGGGGAGGCCAGCACCCAGATATGCTAGGCAGTATCCGGTCGAGAGGACCGAAGGGGTAGGTCGGGCACCCATATATGCCTGACAATTTATGTATGTTATGTGATTATATGGTATGTGGTACAATGGGGGAACTCACTAAGCTTTGTGCTTACAGTTTACAGTTTTGGTTTCAGGCACCTCTTCATCGAAGGGGAAACATCATGCACACACACTGGTTTCCGCATTTATTAGATTTCTCGGGGATTTATACTCTGATATTTCGATTGGTTGTATGATTTGGCTTTTAGACATGGTTTACGTTGTGATGTAGTTTGATCAAAGAATGTTTTTAATTATTAACGTTTTCTAAAGTAATGTTTTAAAAACGAAATTTTTGGACGTGAAATTTGGGTCGTTACAAACACTAAATCAACTAATTTTACCTTGGTTGTCAACTTAGGCATCTTACCTATGCAGACGACTTTAGGTGAAGTTGGTGAATCAAGCGTGGTTGCTAGGAGGAATGTTGTCCCTACTATAAACGATGACGATTTCATTAACGATGACAATGACAATGATGATACGTACTCTTCAGATGAAGAAATAAATAATGAAAACTATGACAGTGTTGATGATGTTGTACATGTATATTGTTCTAATGATGAATCTGATTGACATATGTTATTGTTATTATATATCATGATTGCTTATAATATTTGTTAAATTTTGAAATGTTGCATATTTGTAGCTTTATTATATATTCTGAATGTTTAAAATATTTGTTAAACAGGTGGCAGAAGTTCCAAGGGGACACGAAGGAGACGGTGGGGATAAACCTTCACACGGGGTTGCACGCAGTGTACCATCAGGTTGCCAATCTTGTAAGTTATATGAAATTTTTAAGTATTAGATGTATTAAAGTTTTAAATTTCTAAATTTCCAATTGTATATGTAAATATAGCACAAGCGAAGAATATGAACGTGAATGTGGGTGGCAAAGGGAGAAACTTAAATTTGTATAATGAGTATGAAAAAAAAACAGGTGTAGGCCTTTCGATTTGACAATTGATATCTCCGGGCAGGCATATCGATTTATAGGGGACAACAGGCAAATGTTTGTCAGACTGATCTCAAATCTGGTAGATGACAGGACCGTTGCATTATCATACTTGGCATCGTGTTACTACCAAGTACAAAGATGATTTATATCCCGAGCTAGATGTAAGTATACATTATATTTTATATGTATTGAATTTTACATTTATTAAATATTTTTTATTAATCAAATATGTTTTTTCTTTTGCAGACTTATTTTGATATTAATAGGTATCGAGGCACAAACTTGTGGTAACCCCTTCGAGCGAGTATCCAAGCAAATATGCAAAGAGCTTATCGAGAGCACAAGTATCAGATAAAAAAACATTTTGATAGAGTTGGTGGATACCAAAATGTGGAAAGGGCATGAAGATATCCATTGCCTGATTGGACCGCTGAAGCTTGGAACGATATGATTGATTTGTTGTTTTTGACCGAGGAATACAAACGTACACCGGTCAAAAATAAAGTTACTAGGTCGAAACATCCGCACATAAGTGCTCACGGATGTAGACCCTATGTTCAATGACGTCATTTAGAGGTAATAAAATACATTAGTATTATTTAAAATTGTTATTGACATTTGTAAAAATATATTTATTGTTTTTTCACTTATTATAGGAAAAAATGGGAATCAAGCCGCTGCATATTGAGGGTTGGAGACAAATGCACTACAAAGAAGGTTCGGGTTGGTGTACAACTCGAGCACAAGAAGATTGGGTAAGTGATAAAGAAATGAATGTGTTGTTTAAATATATTATTATTAATTATAGTTTCTTGTTTAACGAATATTATTGTTATTATTTTAATATTTAAGTTTAGTTGTTTTTTTTAGTTAACGTATGTTAATTGTTTTCTTTATTTTAGGAGAAAATTCAAGAGGAATATGAGAAAATGCAAAACGAGATTGGGGAAGGTGGAGAAGTAAATGAGGAAGAATGTTTAGAACGTGCCTTTGGGATGAGACACGGACATGCTCGCGGGGTGTGTAGGCGACCAACCGCCAACTTCGTTTTAATTCCAAATGAACGATCTTCCACTTACAAATCGTCCTAATCTCAATCCCAATTTGCTGCACAAAAAATGTAAGAATATTTGCAACAATATAATGCATCATTGGCGACATGTATTCCGAACCTCCAACCACCACCATTTCCTAACTTTCTATTCAACTATAACACACAAGCAACTACCTCTCAACAATTTGTCGAAATGATGGAAGAAGAAGGAGAAGAAGAAGGAGGAGGAGGAAAAGAAGAATAAGAAGGAGGAGAAGAAGAAGGAGGAGGAGGAAAAGAAGAATAAGGAGGAGAAGAAGAAGAAGAATGAGAAGAAGCAGAAGGAGAAGATGATTATGACAATGATGGTTGATGTTTTTTTTTTAGTATTATGAATAATGTTACTTAACTACTTATTGTAATATTAAACTTGAATTTGATGTTTTGAATTTGAACAATGGTACCTAGTTAATGTATTTCAATTGATATTTGCTGCAATGTTTTTTGGATCTGTTAAAAATGTAGAAATTGTAATGTACAAAACATGTAAAGCTAAAAAAACAACTAGTAGCTATCCCGACGAAAAGTTGTCGCTATAGATCCATAACCAACAACCATTAAAAACATTATAGCGACGACATGTCATCTTAATAGCTGAAACCTTTCGCGATGACTTGTAGTTGTTATAGGTGTCCTGACGACATGTCGTCGCCACAGGTTTTTAATAAAACTTTATTTTTTTTTCCGAAAATATGGTTGACAAAAGTTGTACCAACGACATGTCGTCACAATAGGTGAAGCTATGCCGATGACATCTATGCCAACAACGTAATGGACCTATGCCGACACGCTTGTGCCGGCGATCCTTTGCCGACGACTTATCGTCGCCATACCATGTACCAACAACTTGTCATCTGGATAGGGTCTGAATTTGTTGTCGCCATAGGGTCTCATTGTTGTAGTGAAAACATGTTGGTTGGAAAGCCTCAAATCTTATACTCTAAACTCTCGTATATAATGAACTTGGAGAAGAGAACAAAACACTTTCTAATATGAAGTATAACTTGTGTACTTTAAAGTTGTAGAAAAAAAATCGCACTATTCATATCAAAGAAAGCCTATATAGGCCTACATGCATACATCACGTGGGAACAAACTAAATGCAGAAAAATACTAATCTAATCCAATGGTACATGGTATGAATTCTTCTTCTAAACCCGAACGTGTAAAACCCCAACGTACATATCATTGAAATAGTCAAACCCCTTTACCCATTTTTCTTTATTCAAACTTTAAATAACGTAAACCAGTGATAAACTATTAACTAAAAACCTTAAAACTTATTAAACTAGCAGCCATGCATGTAAACCTGTGAATTAAACCTGATTAATCCCAACAATCACCCTCTTAATCAGGTGGCTCATTCACGGTTCATCATCCTCGCACCGGGTCAAGTGAAGCTCATCCTTTTTCTCCCACAATGAACATTCTGATATGTAATATCCGAATGCATTACACTTGTAACACTTCACGTGACTCTTGTCCCATTGTACTTGACCATCTTCTCGACTTTTCCTGGATCTCCGACCTGCACCTCGGCCACGCCCATAGTTTTCCTCATTCGAGTTTCCACAACCACAATGCTCTTTTTCTTTTGCTTTTTCATCCGAATTATCAAATAAAAGCTGATTTTGCTAGGGTTGGATCTTCTCAACTTTGATCCTTTCTTCATAAGCTTTAAGTCGGCCCACAACATCATCACCGATGGTCTTCAAATCTACAACCTGTTCTATAAAAGCCACCATATTAATAAAACGTTTTGGTAACTCATTAAGAAATTTCTTAACCAATTTTGTTTCTTTCATAACTGATCCAACAGTTTCTTTTTTTTTTTATAGATGCATAAAAACAAAATAGTTTTCGTAAGTATTTACCTGTCGTAGCATGTACATTTATCGTTGCAGTCAACTAAAAAAGGATGCTTTTTCAGTTACATCATATTAGTTGCCTCCTCCACGCCAAAAAAAATGTTTAATAAACCAGAATCTCGTCCTATATAAATCATACACCGAAAGCCATGCATAAACTCAAAAACCTAAAACAGTTGGCTATTCCAAAACAATCCTGAAGGCATCAAACTAGTAACCAATGGGCCTTTCGTCTCTCAAAATAATGCATCTTATCGCCTTTCTTGTTGTCGTAGGGATGTGGTCTTCAGGAGTTACGTGCCGAATGTTAAGTGATGTATCCATCTCTGAGAGACATGAGCTGTGGATGGTACGCTATGGACGTGTGTACCAGGATGACGCAGAGAAGAAAATGCGCTTCAACATATTCAAGGACAACGTGGAATTCATTGAATCCTTCAACAGTGCTGAAAACCAGCCTTACAAAGTAGCGATTAACAAATTTGCAGACCAAACAAATGAAGAGTTCAAAGCCGCTCGTAATGGATATAAGTTTTCATCAAACAAAAGATCAGCAAGAACAACACCTTTTAGGTATGAAAACGTGACTGCCGTGCCACCTAGCATGGATTGGAGAAAGAAAGGAGCTGTTACCCCAGTTAAAGATCAAGGCCAATGTGGTACGTGGCTAATGCAATCGTGGTTAAAAGAAACAACAAAAAACAACAAAAACATAAAAACTGATTTTTACAATAATGGCAATACGTAAATGTCGTGCTTATAATTTAGTGTTTTTTATTCTATAGGAAGCTGTTGGGCATTTTCAACTATCGCTGCAACGGAAGGAATTACTCAGCTCACAACCGGAAAACTAATTTCACTGTCTGAGCAAGAGCTAGTGGACTGTGACAGGAGTGGTGTAGATCAAGGATGCAATGGTGGGGAGATGGAAGATGGCTTTGAGTTTATCGTTAAAAACAAAGGCATCAACACCGAGGTGGCTTACCCATATCAGGCAGCAGATGGAACCTGCAACACCAAGGAAGAAGCTGTCCATGCTGCCACCATTACTGGGTATGAAAAAGTGCCAGCCAACAGTGAATCTGCATTGTTACAAGCAGTCGCTAATCAACCCATATCAGTTGCCATTGATGCCAGTGGCATGGGTTTCCAGTTCTATTCCGGTGGCGTGTTTACTGGGGATTGTGGAACTGATCTTGACCACGGTGTTACAGCAGTTGGATATGGAGTAACGGATGATGGAATGAAGTACTGGTTGGTAAAAAATTCGTGGGGTGCCAGCTGGGGGATAGTGGATACATAATGATGCAAAGAGATGTTAGTGCCAAAGAAGGTCTATGTGGAATAGCAATGGATTCATCGTATCCAACTGCTTAGATCTCCAGTTTATGCATGCCTTTTATAAGTTATAACCTGAACGAAACACACAAAGCAAAGCTATCTGCATGTCCATATGTATATTTATGTAATTATTTTATTCCGGTCCTTGTAATCTATGTTACACAAATACTTGTTAATTAATATAAATCAAATATCCAATTTTTCTTCGTGTATTCTATATCTCAATACGGATATGCAGACGACACTTGTCCTGAATTGTCGTCTCTAAATGTAGCCCTATCCCAACAACTAGTCTCGCCATACCTCTTGCGAACTTTGACCAGGACCTCAATTCCGTCGGCAAAAGTGTGGCGGGAACGACAAAATATTGGCGGTATGCTAAAATTCTATACCCGCGACATGATGTCGGTATAGGTATCAAAAAAATATTTTTTTTCCATTTATTTTTAATTCATATGCCAGAAAAACAAATGACGTAGTTTTGTGTATGCTATACCGACAACTTGTCATCGGCATGACACGTGGCAATCCGCATCACAGGGCTATCCCAACGACTTGACGTCGCCATAGGTTTTTAATTTTTTGTTTTTTTGTTTCAGCAAAAAGCGAAACGACAACGTTTATTTGACCCTATACCGACGACATGTCGTCGGCATATGGGTTTAACCTAAAGAATGCGGGCAACCTTCATTCATTTGCACAGCGATGCAACAAACTCTTTCTCTCTGACGAAAATCTGATTCTAACAGCACTAGCTGGCAATTAGCCTCAGGTAAACCTTTTCTACTCCTATTTCATTGAATATTGATGTGTGCTAATGATTTTTACCCCTATTTCGGGGATTTTTTTTGGTATTTAGAGGCTTTCACCAGTGGTGAAGCACCCCTGTCCGTCTTCCACCGCCTGAAGCTTCCCTATCATGAGTTGTTCACCGACGCCCATCATTCCAGGTTTTCTCATTCACCACCCTTCGTATTTTATTGCACGAACACAACATCGATTTTGACAAGGGTGGTCCGCATCACAGCAAGAAGAACAAACACAGGTTAGGTTTTTTTTTTTTTTTTTTTTTTTTTGTGTTTTTTATTTAAATTGAAATTGAAATTGATCCTGTTTTGATTATAGAATTATGTTGTTTGATATATGTGTGATTCTTGTTTTTGGTTTGGTATATGTATATTGTTTATTTGGTATATGTATATTGTTTGTTTATTTTGGTTTATACGAAATTGAAATTGTATGAAATTCAAATTTGTTTAGGTCATATGAAATTGTGGTTAAATATTATATGAAATTCAAATTTGTTTAGGTTCAAATGAAATTCAAATTGTATGTATACAATGTTAATTTACTTGTTTAGGTTTATATAAAATCGAAATTTTGTATGATTGTGAAATATGTATGATTGTGATCTTTGTTTAGGCTGGTATGAAATTTTATGTATAAAATGAAAAATATGTATGGTCGTGTTATTTGTTTAATTTATTAGCTTAAGTGAATAAAAGTATAATGCTATAATTGAAAAAATAATAAAAAATATATATATATATATATATACATGTGTATATATATATATATATATATATATATATATATATATATATAATCTAATGACGATTGATAAGAGTTTTTTATATATGTGAAAATATATATATATATATATATATATATATATATATATATATATATATTAAAAGTAAAATGATATAATTAAAAAAATAATAATAATATTCCGCTCATTTTTTCCTCAAACAAATGTTATTAATAGCTACATACATTTATTATCTTGTTTATTAAAGTATTTTAAGTTATAACATAAAAGCAAATAATAAAATCACATTGTTATTAAAAGTATGGTGCTAAAAAAAAAGTAAATAATATTAAAAGTACAATGCAGTAATTGAAATATATATATATATATATATATATATATATATATATATATATATATACAATCTAATAACAATCGATATTTAAACTAATAAAAGTACGTTTATTGAAAGTAAACAAAATATAAAAATATTTAAACTAATAAAAGTACGTTTATTGTAACTATGTATACAATCTAATTTTTAATAATGACACAGTAATGACGATCGATAAGAGTTGGATTCGTGAAAACCGAACGTCCCCAAAATTCTTGGAAGGTCTTAAAAACTTTATGGAGATTGCTAGGAAACATGTTGACTCTGAAGACAAAGTGTGTTGTCCATGCGTAAAGTGTGTGAATATGTATCGACAGTTGTTGAGTACGGTTTATGCCCATATACATGACCGTGGGTTTCTAAAATCATATACTATATCGATTTATCACGGTGAGAAGCATTCTGTTTCGGATTTGGGCTACAATTCGACTCTAATAAACATTCGAACAACTAATGAGTTGTTTGATGTAATTGATGATGTTATGGCGGAACAAAATACAAATGAAGAAAATACAGATGATGAAGGACGAGGCATGGACTCAGAATTTGATGCTTTGTTTGACGAGCTCAATACTGAGTTATACCCTAATTGCGAGATGTCTTCTTTAAACTTTTTGGCAAAGTTGTTGCATATTAAAGTGATCAATAAGTGGACAAATAGTTAATTTGACCAACTTGTAGAGTTGCTAAGAGTTGCTTTCCCGAAGAGCGAGATTCCAACTTCACACTATGAAGCTAAGAAAAAGTTGAGAAAGATAGGGTTAGGATATGAGTCCATACATGCTTGCAAATATGATTGTGCTTTGTTTTGGAAGGAGAATGATTCCATGCATCATTGTCCGATTTGTATCGAGGGTAGATATGTGGACACAACCACAAAGGGGAAGCGAGTACCACATAAAGTGTTGTTTTACTTTCCTTTGACTCCAAGACTTCGATGGATGTATATTTCCAGATTCACAGCTAAAGATATGATTTGGCATAATACTAGAAGATCAATGGATGGTATGATGTATCATCGGTAGATAGGAAGTCTTGGCAAGAATTTGATAAGAGATATCCAGAGTTTTCCAAAGAACCTAGAAATGTTCGTTTAGGTTTAGTTGTTGATGGCTTTAATCCATTCGGCAACTTTAATAACAATTATAGTATTTGGCCGGTTATATTGACTACCTACAATACACCACCATGTATTCAATATGCGTGTGATGTTGTTATGGACTATCAATGATTTCCCAACACATAGCAGTCTGTCTGGATGGAGTGGTCAAGGTTATTTAGCATGCCCTACTTGTAACGAAGACACATCTTCCATTTATGTGACCAACAAGATGTATTATTGTTGGTCACAAACGATTCTTGAATATAAACCATAGTTAGAAGGAGAGTCTATTGTTTGATGGTCAACCTGAGACAAGACCGCGTCCTAGACGATTTAGTAATGCAACTATATTAAAGCAAGTAAATTGTCTCTCTGATCGAATTCCAGGGAAACGTCCTGATTATGGGGGCAAAAAAAGAAAGTATGACGATGAAAGAAAAAGAGAGAGTTAAATTGGATGAAACATCGTATCTTCTTTGAGCTTGAGTATTCCTCTTCCCTCGACCTAAAACACAATTTCGATGTTATGCATGTTTCAAAGAATGTGAATGAGAGTGTGCTGAATGCTGCACTGATGAACGATAAAAGCAAAGACAAAAAAGAAGCAAGAATTGACTTGAAAAATATGGGCATTAGACCAGATCAATGGCCAAAAGACAAAGTCAAGCAGATGAAGAAACATAACAAGGATGAATACAAGAAGAATGAAATACTCCCACATGCTTTTTACTCTTTCAAACCAATTGATCGACAACGTTTCTGTCAATTCATTAAAGGAGTGAGACTACCTGATGGTTTTGGATCGAACTTTAAGAAGAAGGTTAATGATACTGAATCAAATTTGGTTGGGCTGAAGTCTCACGATCATCATGTACTCATGCAACGATTGCTACCTATAAGGGTTCGAGCATGTCTCCCACCAAATGTTTCAAGAACAATTATTGACCAGTGTACATTCTTTAAACAAAATTATGCACGGTCATTGGATGTTAACGACATGAGAAATTCCATAACAGAAGTGGTAAAGATCTTATGCAATCTTGAGTTGATATATCCTCCAGTATTTTTCGACATAATGATTCATCTTATTCTTCATTTACCTGATGAAGACATTCTTGGAGGGCCTGTACACATTAGATGGATGTATCCTTTTGAAAGATATATTAAAAAACTTAAAAATTATTTCAGAAACAAAGCCAAACCAGAAGGTTCAATAGCAGAGGGTTATGTTGCAGACGAAGCATTGACATTCTGCTCTATGTATCTTGAGGGTATGCAAACTAAATTTAACTGTGCTGATAGAAATGATGATCCCGACCTTCCAAAAAGGCATTTTTTTGTGTTCTCATCACAATGTCGAACAATGTCGGCCAAGAAAATCGTTGAACTTTGTAAAGAGGCCAAAAAATCATTGCATTGGATTGTACTAAACAATTACGATGAGGATGAGATGAGAAGCTAAAAATCGTAAGTCTCTAATCTATTAACTACCTTTTCGATAGTGTTTTAACTATTCTAATTATTTTGTCCCATATTCAGTGAATTAAAATTAGAATTGCCTGAAAGTGATATCAAAAAGGAATTTCCTTCATGGTTCAAAGAAAAGGTAAGTATGTTATATATTTATAATGTAAAACTAATTTATTACTTAAAAATACAATCTTATATTTCCTTACAGATTTATTGTCTCCAAAAAGATATGCCTTCGGATTGTACTGGCGAATTAAAGGAGTTAGCATATGTTCTGTTGCGTGCATATTCTTACACTGCGTGCATTGTAAATGGTGTCCGATTTGTCGTGAATAATCACGATCTCCAACGCACTACTCAAAATAGTGGTGTTGTTACATTCGGAGAAGACGGTACACCATTCTATGGTCAATTAGAGGAGATCATAGAGTTGCATTATTTATATAATAAATCAATTGTACTCTTTCAGGGTAAACGGTTCAATGCGTCGTTACGTAATGGACGTTTAAAGACTATAAATAATATGATTCTTATCGATACCAGTCATGAATGGTAAGTCAGTAAAACGTGGTATGATGATCAACAATACATCTTAGCCACACAAGCTAAACAAGTATTTTATCTCCAAGATCCCACTCAAAACAATAACTGGACAGTTTTGGAAAAGGTTCATCATTGAAAACTTTGGAATCATCCAAGTATCGGTGTTGTGAATGAGATAGATGTCGTGAACAACACTCAATCAACTAATTTTACCTTGGTTGTCAACTTAGGCATCTTACCTATGCAGACGAATTTAGGTGAAGTTGGTGAATCAAGTGTGGTTGCTAGGAGGAATGTTGCTCCTACTATAAACGACGACGATTTCATTAACGATGACAATGACAATGATGATACGTACTCTTCAGAAGAAGAAATAAATAATGAAAACTATGCAGTGATGATGATGTTGTACATGTATATTGTTCTAGTGATGAATCTGATTGACATATGTTATTGTTATTATATATCGTGATTGCTTATAATATTTGTTAAATTTTGAAATGTTGCATATTTGTAGCTTTATTATATATTCTGAATGTTTAAAATATTTGTTAAACAGGTGGCAGAAGTTCCAAGGGGACACGAAGGAGACGGTGGGGATAAACCTCCACACGGGGTTCCACGCAGTGTACCATCAGGTTGCCAATCTTGTAAGTTATATGAAATTTTTAAGTATTAGATGTATTAAAGTTTTAAATTTCTAAATTTCCAATTGTATATGTAAATATAGCACAAGCGAAGAATATGAACGTGAATGTGGGTGGCAAAGGGAGAAACTTAAATTTGTATAATGAGTATGAAAAAAAAACAGGTGTAGGCCTTTCGATTTGACAATTGATATCTCCGGGCAGGCATATCGATTTATAGGGGACAACAGGCAAATGTTTGTCAGACTGATCTCAAATCTGGTAGAATGACAGGGACCGTTGCATTATCATACTTGGCATCGTGTTACTACCAAGTACAAAGATGATTTATATCCCGAGCTAGAGGTAAGTATACATTATATTTTATATGTATTGAATTTTACATTTATTAAATATTTTTTTACTAATCAAATATGTTTTTCCTTTTGTAGACTTATTTTGATATTAATAGGTATCGAGGCACAAACTTGTGGGAACCCCTTCGAGCGAGCATCCAAGCAAATATGCAAAGAGCTTATCGAGAGCACAAGTATCAGATAAAAAAACATTTTGATAGAGTTGATGGATACCAAAAATGTGGAAAGGGCATGAAGATATCCATTGCCTGATTGGACCACCGAAGCTTGGAACGATATGATTGATTTGTTGTTTTTGACCGAAGAATACAAACATACATCGGTTAAAAATAAAGTTACTAGGTCGAAACATCCGCACACAAGTGCTCACCGATGTAGACCTTATGTTCAACGACGTCATTTAGAGGTAATAAAATACATTAATATTATTTAAAATTGTTATTAACATTTGTCAAAATATATTTATTGTTTTTCCACTTATTATAGAAAAAAATGGGTATCAAGCCGCAGCATATTGAGGTGTAACATCCGAAAAATACACCCAATTTAAATTTTTCAAAACAACCTGATTTTCATTAAAATGTTTACAAAAAGGTTTTCAATACAAGTCATTTGAGTATTCCCAGAGTCACATTGCTACAAAATCATGAGGAGCGGTACGATCGCGCCTTCGCCTTGCCACAGTCTCCTGAAGAACCTGAAAAACATTAAACCACAACTGTAAGCCCGAAAGCTTAGTGAGATACCCCCAAAATACCAACCACGTATACGCCCTTCCAGGCTACGACCTTCCGGTCCAAAACATATAAAACATACATAACATAACAGAACATAGAACAACCATGCATATCGGGTCTACTGTGTGACTGGTCCACCGTATCGGGCCTTCAGTCCAACGGATCCATCCTCCGGGTCTAGTCATGTCCTTCGAGTCTACAGTGGGGTTGGTCCGCCCACATCGGGCCTTCAACCCACCTGGTCCACTCTCTGAGTCTACAGTGTGACTGGTCCGCCCGCATCGGGCCTTCAGTCGGCCTGGTCCACTCTCCGAGCCTCGGCACGTCTGGTCCGCCCTCGTGGGGCCTACAGCCTATCCGGACCGCTTGCTGGGCCTTCGGAACAACCGGTCCGCCCTGGGTATCTTGGCCTACAGCACAAAGCAGGACCCGCCTCAACCCATCTCCAGTCTAAACAACCATGTGCACAAAACATACATTCATATAACGTCATAGTCAACAAACCGAACAAGCAGATCACATAGCATATCATTACCCTAACCGGATTACCGACCTAACCGGTCACTAGCATAGCATCACTCTGTATATCGGGAAAACTGACCTTAACAAGGCCTCCTAGCATGAACCATCCTAGCTACCAGGATGCAGACACATCAAACAATAACATAATAACCATAACCGAATCTCAATACAATAAAGGGCCGGCCTTGGTGCCTTAGACCCTGTTGATATAGTGAGGATAACTCACCTCGAAACTGCCGGCTGAAAAGATAAGATCCCGCTGCTCCGAACTCTGGCACGAACTCCTTCACTAAACATCAAAACATACCACTCAATAAATACCCTTAATTACCAAAATACCCCTGGAAGACAACTGGTCAACCTTGGACGAGTCAAAGTCAACCCCTGACTGACCCTACTCGCCGAGTCATCCCAATGACTCGCCGAGTCCTCATGCTCAGAACTTCCCTCAATTAGCGACCCAACTCGCCGAGTCACCCCAAGACTCGTCGAGTCCAACAACTCTGAGTCCACTCGCACCCAACTCACCGAGTCATCCCTTGACTCACCGATTCATCGACTCAACTAGAAATATTGGGACTTCCTCGAAAAGACTCGCCGAGTCCAAATGGACTCGTCGAGTCCAAGGCCATCTTCAACCTACTCGCCGAGTTGTTCTTCCAACTCGTCGAGTCCCAGGCCATCTTCAAGCAACTCGTCGAGTCCACCCATGTGAATCGTCGAGTTCCACCTATCTGAATCCATACAGAAGCATTTCAGGCCATGCAATTGATCCAAAACATAGATCCAACCTCCTACAATCCATCCATCACGTAAAGTGGCAACCTTTACGTGAATCTAACGAGATTTAAGCCATATTCACCTTAAAACCAAGGTTTGGGACATGGTGGCTTCACTAAGCACACAAACACAGGAACTTTAATGCACTCTAGGCCTTCAATATTCCAGATCTGAGGTAGCAACCTCAGATCTATCCTCCAAACTCCAAAACATTCCAAGACATACTCCCCACAAACCCCAAAATGATGAAACTAGGAATGCACAACCTAAGGACGAAGATATTACCTCCAAAAGATGCCTCAATAGCAGTCAAACTCGAATCCAAGCAAAGCCCTTTGATCCAAGCCACTTCTCCTTCAAGATCTCTTCAAACAACACCTCTCCAAGCTCTAATTTGCTCCACAAATGATCTCTCCACGAATTAAGGGTTTCTGGAACTCAAGGGGGGAATAAGGGAGGCTGTGGAGGAGTATAATGTTCTTTATATAGGGCTCAACCCCGAAAATTAAGGTTTTCTCCATACAGCACCTACTCGCCGAGTCCATCTAGGGACTCGCCGAGTAGGCCACTTGACACGCGACCATGTCCGCGACCTGACTCGCCGAGTCATCCATGGACTCGCCGAGTCATCCTCTAAAACTTACCCTTTCAGCCCTTCAACTCTACTCTTGCGATTCCGGGATGTTACATGAGGGTTGGAGACAAATGCACTACAAAGAAGGTTCGGCTTGGTGTACAACTCGGGTACAAGAAGATTGGGTAAGTGATAAACGAAATGAATGTGTTGTTTAAATATATTATTATCAATTATAGTTTCTTGTTTGAGGAATATTATTGTTATTATTTTAATATTTAAGTTTAGTTGTATGTTTTAGTTAACGTATGTTAATTGTTTTCTTTATTTTAGGAGAAAATTCAAGAGGAATATGAGAAAATGCAAAACGAGAGTGGGGAAGGTGGAGAAGTAAATGAGGAAGAATGTTTAGAACGTACCCTTGGGACGAGACACGGACATGCTCGCGGGGTGTGTAGGCGACCAACTGCCAACTTCGTTTTAATTCCAAATGAACGGCCTTCCACTTCCAAATCATCCCAATCTCAATCCCAATTTGCTGCACAACAAATGCAAGAATATTTGCAACAATATAATGCATCATTGGCGACATGTATTCCAAACTTCCAACCACCACCATTTCTTAACTTTTTATTCAACTATAACACACAAGCAACTACGTCTCAACAATTTGTCGAAATGATGGAAGAAGAAGGAGGAGGAGAAGAAGAAGGAGGAGGAGAAGAAGAAGAATGAGAAGAAGCAAAAGGAGAAGACGATTATGACAATGATGGTTGATGTTTTTTTTTTTTAGTATTATGAACAATGTTACTTAACTACTTATTGTAATATTAAACTTGAATTTGATGTTTTGAATTTGAACAATGGTACCTAGTTAATGTATTTCAATTGATATTTGCTACAATGTTTTTTGGATTTGTTAAAAATGTAGGAATGGTAATGTACAAAACATGTAAAGCTAAAAAAACAACAAGTAGCTATCCCGACTACAAGTTGTCGCTATAGGTCCATAACCAACAACCATTAAAAACACTATAGCGACGACATGTCATCTTAATAGCTGAAACCTTTCGCGATGACTTGTCGTTGCTATAGGTGTCCTGACGACATGTCGTAGCCACAGGTTTTTAATAAAACTTTTTTTTTTTCCGAAAATATGGTTGACAAAAGTTGTACCGACGACATGTCGTCACAATAGGTGAAGCTATGCCAATGACATCTATGCCAACAACGTAATGGACCTATGCCGACACGCTTGTGCCGGCGATCCTTTGCCGACGACTTATCGTCGCCATACCATGTACCAACAACTTGT